TACATACATACATATACATACATATAGAAACACACATGATCAGAAATGTATTCTTATCAACCGACTTATCTATGTGCCTATTGCTTGGATTACACCTTGATTGAGTGCACCTGTTTGCGTCATGCATCCGTTGATGCTGTCCTACACACAGAGATCGTGGACAATATGGCTGGATACTGTGTTTTGACTCCAGTTGCTGCTGAGCAGTGGGAACCGCATTATTGCGCTTTTCGGCGTGCAGGCATGTGCGACAGGCATCAGAATCATAGAGATAGGCCGGCTTCCTTTTAGAAAGCGGGAGTCACGGGGTCTTTGAAGGCACACCTCTCACTTCTCACTTGTACGAGAAGCACGTGATCCTCAAAATTTCGTTCAAAGTGGTTCAATACTGCTCTGCTCCAAAAATAGTTATGCCCACGTGCCCACGGAACACACAGATTCAGTGATACTGCTCTTCGTTATCATCGCAGGGTCAGCATCATTAGATAGCGTTCGATAGACTGGGCACAGGAATGCTGCAGTCCGTAAGTTCTGATGCAAACAGGGATGGTAGTCCAGCTTGCAACACATCAACTCATGGTTAGTTTGAATGCTTGAAAGGGCAGGTCTCGGCATCACGGACTGTCAATTGGCAACCGCCCAAAAAAAGGCTGAACTGGTGAGACTTGGATAAGCCTTGGGCGTGGGCCAAGACGTCTCAGATGAAGAAAGTGTCACTCTCGGACATGCTCTCAGAGTCCCGCTGGCTTTCCGTAGAGCAGGCCTCAATCAACCAGGAAGGCGCGAGCATCTGGCGGGCCAATTCGGACGCTGTTTTCGCGCGGTAGTTCCGGATGTCTACTCGTGCTCCAGCTGAGAGCAGGGAGAATACATAATCCAGAGAACCACTCAGAATGCTGAACATCAGCGGAGTGGCATCGTAATGATGGTATGCCAACAATGTCAGTCTGGACGGATTTACCCGATGCCTCAAACCCATGACATTCATTAGAAGCCACCATCCGGGCTCCCGGATCTGTACCCGGAACTGTTCATTCACGTTCGCCCGAGCCTCAAGCAAAACCGAAACCAAGTCGGTAGAGCCACCTCCAGCGAACATGAGTGCGATGTGTAGGCAGTGTCGCAAACTCAGACCAGGATTCAATGCAAGCATCTCCTTCATTGCATGCCCGCTTCCACATGCACAGGAGACCATGAAAGGGTTCAGCCCCGGCATGCTCTCTTGATTGATGTCGGCACGAGCACGGCATAGTAGACGTACTCCGAGAGGGTTATCCCCTGCACACGCCACATGGAGAGCATTGCCCCCGAAACCATCCTTGTAGTTCACCTGGGCTCTTGCGGACAGGAGAAGCTCGACAGCTTCATTGTTCCGAAAAAAGGAAGCCATTCCGAGAGCCGTCATTTTGGCGGGAAGATTGACCTCTGCTTTGGGTTTGGTCGTGGCCTGGTTGATATCCACCTTTCGATCAAGAAGTGCTTGCAGCACCACGATGTTGTTGCTCATCGCTGCGAAGCAAATGGGTGGCCACCCTGCAGCATCCCGCTCGAAGATGTTCCTGACGGAGTGGAGCAGAAGACATAACTCTCTTCTGACTGGCTAAAAACTACGCGGCAGGATGCGGAAAGTCGCGGTGGTTTTTGTCTGCTCGTACACTCGAACAAACACTGTATTAGGTGTGCAGTCTAAACTCTCGCAAATTTGGGTGCCGGTGCAAGGGATTTTGGGCTTCTACGCTCCTGAAGCCGTTCTGATGCAGGAAACGATGCAGCATAAACTCCCGAGGGTCAACACTCGGATCGGTCTGAGTGCGGAATCCGGGAACGAGTCCGTCGATGGGCTCCGCGTCAAGAGCTCGGAAATACAGCGCAACTTGCGAGTTGAGAAGGAAGCGGTAGTTGTGAAACTCTCGATGCTCGAGGTAATGGAAAAGCTTGGACCAGACCATCTGGGTGACCATACGACCGATACCGACTCTGTCAACGTCCAATGTAAACTCTCCTTCTCCCGGTGCATCACTCATCCTGTTCCCTGCCCACATCAGCGTCTGGTGCGTCGCGCTCTCCACAATGACGACGTACCCACCCTTTCGAGTTGAGAGTTCGCGTGCAACTCTCTCTGTGCGACACCACCTGGGACTGTGGGATATGGGACCGGTTAAAGTTATGCCAACTATGCCATCTTAACAACTTTATCGTCACAGGAACAGGACACCACCTGAACCGGGAGTGTTGCGCATGGAACCCACCAAACCTACGCCATGTTAACAATCTTATCTTCAAAGGAACAGGACACCACCTCAACCGGGAGTGTGGTATATGGAACCTGCCAAATGTTAACACGTGTATATTCAAAAACAAGGACACACTAGGACACCACCTGAACCGGGAGCGTTGTCACGGAACCCGCCAAACCAATGCCATATTCACAATTTTATCGTCAAAGGACCACCTGAACCGAGAGTGTGGGTGTATGGAACCCGCGCCAAACCTATGCCGGTTAACACTTTTATCGCCAGAGGAATAGGACACCACCTGAACCGAGAGTGTGGTATATGGAACCCGCCAAACCAATGCTTTGTTCACCGTTTTATCGTTAAAGGAACAAGACACCACCTGAACAGGGAGTATGGTATATGGAACCGGCAAAACCTATGCCATGTTGACAGTCTGACCGTCAAAGGAACAGGACACCACCTCAACCGAGAATGCGGTGCATGGAACCCACCAAACCTATGCCATGTTGATACAAACGTACGGCTAACGACGTTTTAGCAAAAATCATACTAAAGGTGCAGGGCCCAATTTTGGTCGTAGCACGACCGCCTGAAGGGGCGAGAGCCGGCCGGTAGTCAGGTTAAACCCTTCAAGGGTGGTGAAAGCGGGAAACCAAAAAACGGCGGATCGAGCCGAAAGCCATGAATGCGTTGCACTACAAACGTACAGCTAACGACGTGTTAGCCCAAATCCTACTCAAGGTGCAGTGCTCCTTTTGGTCGTAGCGCGAACTGCTCCCGGCCGGGCACGCCGCCCGAAAACTCGGTGCCCGCCGAGGCGCGCAGTTCTGCGCCCGCCCGGCGCACCCATCACAAGGCGCCCGCACCTACCACAAAGCTAGATCAAGCCATCGCTCAGGCGCCCCGTGACACGCGAAATCGATGTCCACGGTGTCCTTGCAAAGCACCTGCGCGAACTGCCCCGCGACGTTGTCGATGAAGGCGATCGTAGCTGAAAGCCTTGCGGGAGGCGAAGGGCTTGAGGTGCTCAGCCTTGATGACCCCACAGTCGTGGAAAACTTGGCCTCCAAGATGGAGGACGAAGCCCCAGCCGTTCCACCATCGAGCCTCCCGAGGAACAATGACCCCAGGAGCGACGTGACCCACCTTCTTGCGGATGTCGCCGTTGAGGAAGAAGCTGTCTGCGTAGGGGACCGGGCGTCGATCTGGGCCATTGTCTTGGACTGGCGGCGCTCGGTTGGCCTGAGCGGCCCCCCCGACGGTACATGGAGAGGGTGACTCCTTGGACCACGTGTTCCTGTGCTGGCCTCTGCGCCTTAGACGGCATTGTCTGCAGGTGCAGCAATGCGACGATGTAGGGGACAACGAAGCGGGCGGTGTCCGCGACAGCGACAGCCTTCGTGCTGTTAAAATCAAATTGGCCAAGGAGCAGCAGGAGGATGTCGCCGAGAAAGTGGTGCGTTGAAGAGCGAAACCTGTCTTCGCCTCGACGAAGCTTGAGCTTCCCGTTCAAAGCAGTCGCCGCCCATGTTTGCGCCGCCGGGAACCACCGAGGTCCTCACCGACCAGTGGTCGGGCGCGGCGCAGCAGGCGAACCTGCTCGATCAGAGCTGCTCCGCACAAGCCAGCGCGTCATGCGGAGCTGGAGCTGGCCATCCACCACGGCATGGTGCCGAGCTGGACGGTGCAGCGCAACTCGGCACGCAGTGGTGGGCGGTGCGGCCCAGCTCCGCGTGACTAGCTGGACCGCGCAGCTCAGCTCGGGAAGATAGAGAACAGGTTTGAATAGGGATGTTCCAGGAAAATACAGGTTTGAATTGGGTTTTGTGGGAAAACAAACCCCGGTTTGAACATGTTTGAACAGGTTTTTCTCGTCGAACAGAGCCTGCGCATGGCCCTATAGCCGTGACGCTTTGGCTGCCACGTAGCTTGGATTCTGCTGGCGAAGACGGCTCAGGCCTACGAACACAAGTGGCGCGGGCCTTCCAACCAGGCGCCTGGCCCAGCATGTCGGTCCTTAGTAGGTGGGCCGGACGTGCCGGGAGCCGCCAAATGTGCGAGCTGGAATCGGAAGTGTGCAGAAGTGCAACGGAGCAGAGCCGGAGTCCGCGGAGTTGCATTTCTGCGCACTTCCGATTCCAGCTCGCACATTTGGCGGCTCTGAAAGCCAGAATCCGAGCCCTCTGTGGCCTCCGTAGTCCGCACATAGTGCATTTTGGAGTCGGAACCACATAGAACCGTACATCTCGATCGCGGATTCAAAACTTGGTCCAACCGTGGCCACGGTGAGGTTGAACATGCGTACCAGACACGGAGAGATCCAGCCCGTAACCGCAGCGCACGCCACAGTGATCCCTCGAGCCCGCAACCGTGCGGTCGCCACGTAATTCCGCAGCGCATGCGGCGAAACTCGAACTGCAAAACAGCACTGCAACAATGAAAAATTGAACTAGTATGCAACGCAAAGTGGAACAGTATGCAACGGAACGGAACTGCCTTGCTGAGGCGGCCCCTGTCCTCCGGCGACAGCGCCCGGATGCCGCAATCGGCGCGGGCTCCACGGCGATCTCCCCTGCGCCCGTCCCGGGCCCATGCTCCGGTGACGAGGTAAATAGGCGCCGACGTCGATACAATGTCGTGGGAGACGCCACCAAGTCTGTGCCGGTCGCCACGGTGAAGTCGGCAACGCCTCGGCGAAGGGCCAGGCGAAGAAGCACCGGAGGAGGCCATGTTGACGACGAGGGGCGAAAGAAGGAGGGGAAATCAAGAAAGGGCGGATCGAGCAGAAAGCTTCGGTCGATCGCCCACGTTTGTACCTACACGCATGAATGCGTTACACCGCTTTTATCGTCAAAGGGATAGGACACCACCTGAACCGGGAGCATGGTATATGGAACCCGCCAAAACCTTTGCCATGTTAACAATTCTATCGTTAAGGGAACAGGACACCACATCAACCGGGAGTGTGGTATATGGAGCCCACCAAACCTATGCCGTGTTAACGCTTTTATCGTCAAAGGAACAGGACACCACCTGAACGGGTGGTGTTAGCAATCTAGCGGCAAAGGAACGGGACACCATTGCAAGCAGGCTGCCCCCTTTCGCCCCAGGTTGAATGGCTCAGAGTTCGCTGCTGGTCTCTGTGTGTGAAAGCCGGGCACAGCACGACGAAGAACTCGCATCTTGCCACATAGGCCGGGATGCTTTGGATAGCGCTCTGGCGGTGCCTGGATGCAAAGTCACTGCTGCGCTGCGGGATGCTGAAGTAATCGTACCAAACATGAAGATGGTCGGATGCGAAGTCATCGGCAGTAGGGCATCTTCTGCGACCATTCAGGATTTCTGTAATGATAGGTAGATCTATTTTGCTGGTTCCAGCAACAATGTTCTTGAGGGCATCTTGCAAGACTTTCAGCTGCTGAAAGTCTGGATCAGGGTGCAAGTCACTCAACCACTGGTGCGACACGAACATTGCCCTTCCCATGCTCTCATCGAACTCTGTGAGCACACCTGCGTCTGCCAGCTCCTCGTGCATCTTGACTTCTGTCATCTTCAAGAAAACAGGGGCCGGTACGGTGTACATCACAAAAGTGTCATGGCCTCAGCTTCAAAGGCTTTCTGCCCAGCTGAACCGCTTCTACATCCGATAACCTTGCCACATGGCAGGCTAGGTGCTTGAGGAACTGGCCTTGCCCGTGCTGTCAGACGGCTTCTGTACAAATGCAGCACTAAGTTCTAGATTCTAGAGTCACCTGTGAGCACCTGCCAACCTGGAACCCTGCACAGTGCCAAGTCGCCCAAAGTGCTGTCTGAAGTCGTTTTCGAGCTGTGTTTGCGCAGCGACGACGCAAAACGCACGAGAGGAACGCTGTCCATGGCAACTAAAGCACACTAATTACAGGTGGTGGGCCCCACTGAAATGCGCTGCAGCTTGACAATTGCAATGTAAGGCGACTCCAGCTTCAGCCACGCCCACTATCGGGGCGATGGCTGGGACCTGTGCTTCGCAGGCACTGCTCTTGGTTAAGTGGATAAGTGCGAGACTCGACTACTTGTACACCGTTGTCATGGGCCCAGCTCAGCGATGCCGATGCAATGGCATGCCCGACCATAGCTTGGGTGAGAGATTCTGATTCCCATCACGCCGTTGCAAGCTGTGCTCGTTTTCGTCTCTGGTCGCGAGTTTCGCTCACAAGGTCATCATGTCTGTGAATGTCTGAATCTGTGAATGTCTGAACCAGTAGACCTGCCAGCACAGTCAACCCCCTCTGCACGAGCTATGTGGGGAGAAGTTCCGACTCGAGGTTTAACACCGGAGCCCAAACATGTTTCTTGCAGCAAAGTGTTTTCCGATTGGGGTTCCGGGACATGCCTGTTGAGTCCGACTTTCCCACGACACATGATGATCCCGCAGTACCTTTTCTTTCGGTGCCATGACCTGCGTTTGCAGAAGCCAAGCAAGAGTTTCCAATGGAAAAAACTCGCTGGGTCGCCTTCTGGCGATCACCAGAGCTTCCTCGGACATGCTGGATCTCGCGCTCAGGCGCTCAGGTCAGTCAAGAGTGCTTCTTGGTACCATTCGCTTGGGACATCGATCACATTCTGCGAGGTCAGGTCAGTCAAGAGTGCTTCTTGGTACCATTGGCTTGGTACTTCTCGGTGATGCAAAAGGCGTAGATCCCCAGCTTCGCTTTGATCTGCTCCACCACCGACAGCAACCACCAGAGAAGCCCAAGGCCGAGAGCCTTGAGACTTCAGCCGCACTTCGGTTTAGGGTTTAGGGTTTAGGGTTTAGGGTTTAGGGTTTAGGGTTTAGGGTTTAGGGTTTAGGGTTTCTTTCTGAAGTCTCCGTACTTGGGCTCCCTGCAGCAGTAAAGCAGCAGAGCACTGGCCGCGAGAACTCCAACGGCAAAGCCCAGGAGGCTATCACAGCGCTGGCCTGGGTTACACAGGCTTTGGGCACCAGCAAGAATGCTAGCGCGCTGGCTCCTAACAGAGTCTGAGAGAAGCCCGAAGCTCTTGCTTTAGCAGTTCCTACTTTCGTCGGAACAGCGTTCGACAGCTGCTGTTGCTACGCAGTCTATATGAGAGCCTTCAGCTCCAAAGCGACTGGCGAAGTAAGCTCGCCGCGTAGAGGAGCAGGGACCACTGGAGCCATGGAAACTCTGTCCTGAAAATCACTGCACTGCACGTCAAAAAGAGGCTTAACGCTGGCGCCCTTGCACTTGGCAGGTCCCGGCTATGGTGAAGACGATCATCTGCCTTGGCACGTAGCACCAGTCAGAAGGGAGATTGCAGCCCTGTGCTACGCGTTCTTTGCTGATCTACACGACTGTAAAGATGTCAAACATCAAAAGGCTCATGCACGTCCAAAATCCAAACCGCCAGCATCTTTCTGCAGCCGCGGTTCACATTCATCCAGAAGATTGACCTTCAGAGCACCAAAACCTTTTTCCTCTGATGTTCTGAACTGAATGCTTCAAGCTTTCTTCGAGACAGTCGCGGCATCAAGACAATCTAGTGACCTACCTCGACCTACCCTAAATCTTGTCGGCACAACAAGAGCGGGATCTATCGATGCATTGGGGATGCATTGGGGATGCATGGCACAAAGACTAAGGCAGCCAAGCAGCAGGCCCGTGAAGAGGCTGATCATTCGCCCTGCGGCTGCCACCAAACCAGGCTGCCAAAGCCCGAGCAGCACATTCAAGAGCAGGACTGGAAGCAGGTCCTTCCATGAAGCCGAAGATACGTGAACCATTGCGCAGGTACTAGGACCATGCGGCTACCCCAGTCCAGACATTCAGCTGGTTTGCATATGCCACAGGCAGCAATGACAGATGATGACAAATGCATGTTGCACGCCAGCTCCGTCACAACCACTGACTGCAATGGCACTACCTGTGCCCCAGCATTCGTATCAGTTGCAGTCGACATTCAAGGTTTGGGGGCATGGGATGCTGACTTTGGAAAGCCCCTTTCTATCTGGCCCTGTACAGGTGCCCGAGTCCTCACGATGACGGGGCGGCGACGCGGAAGCACTTGCGTTTGCTGAAGGTATCCCCAACCCGATGACTCTGGCTACCAGGTTATCAGGATCCTTGTCCTGTACCCTCTGCTGGATTTTCAGCGTCTATCTCGCATATCGGCTGCCCCTCCCTCCGTAAGCCACCCGTCCTTCAGTGCGGATATGCCGGCAAGTCCCCTGCTGGTACACACAGTGCTCATCACTCTGGCCTGGGCCCAAAGGTTCCAAAGGGCCACGAAACCCGAAACCCTCTGCAGAACCGAGCCGCAATGCAGAACAAGGCCATTGCAAGAGATTGGAGCAACCAAGCCTGCGGACAGATGGTCTTAACACTTCATGTCATGAACTTTCTGCTCTTCATGGTGCGACGGTGCTTTTCACAGCCATATTCCGCGCTAGTATTTGAACAAGAACCGTAAGATGTTAGCCCCCAACAGACCCCAGACAAAACTGGGAAGCGATAAGAGCGGGCCTTTCAAAGCCGCTGAAGACAAGCGAAACAAGATGCTATTGACAACTGTGGAGCGCTTCTGCCTTCACGATCAAGATTCGGACGGTCTCAGATGCCCAGGGCAGCTCCACCGTCGCTGTCATCCATCTCTGCCAGACCTGCCAACGACAGCTCCGGGTTCGAGCGGCCGGCAAACCAGAGTCCCAAAAGCCATAGCTACAAGCCGTGCAAAATGCCATTACATCAGAAGACTCCACGATCGTGCACGGGTGGAGGCGCCTCTGGGCCAACGACGGCCGTCAGAAGAATCGGTGACATCAGCATGTACTGCAGCTCCGTGACACCAATCTGCGAAGCGGAGCACAAGTACGCATCACATAGAGGCCCATACTACAGATTGCTGGGCACATTGCAGAGCTGTTCCTGGGCCTCAGCTCCATACTCAGCCTCTGCTCAGCCCCAGGCAGGACCCAGACTCGTCGGAAAAAAGCCCGCATGGCGGTCCTGGCTTGGAATCGCACGGGTGGAAAGTGAAGCGCCACCGGTGGCGTGCTTGAAACCCGTCGGCGGTCATGCCAAGCAGCCAGAAAAATGGGAGTCCTCGGCTGGCGAGTGGGGAGCGAAAGTTGCTCAAACAGAGTAGGGAGGAGTGCTCCCACAACTCGCGTGAACACCCAAGCTGCTGAACCGAGGCCCAGGCTGGATAGACCGCATGCACTGAAAAACCCAGTGCATGTCGGCAGGCATCAGGATCATCACCAGCGCAGCATGCTGCCGGTTTGATGCATCAAAGAACTGAAGTTCGTGAGGCATTCGTTCACAGCGTTCTGTACATTGACCAAAATCCTGCCTGAGACATGCCAGTGAGGCAGTCACAGCCATGATCCACCAGGTGGCCCAGGGGGGTGGAAGAGCCGGTTCTTCGGGCCTTGCAGGGGTTAGACGAGGACTTGTAACATCTAGGCCAGACGGCTTGCCTGCTTACCATCCACTGCATCCATGGTCTGGTAAAAGTAGAGCGCAGCCACGTAGTTGAAGGCCAGCCATCGGGGCCTCAGAACTCGAGCCAGAAAGCCACATGAAACCTCAAAGGAATCCTAGACCAAGCCCGCGGCGGTGCTTCATCGCAAAAGGGACAGGTATGCCAGGAGAGAATGTAGACCAAGACCAGGGGCGCGAAGCCGATGAAAGTGATCTGCGAGGTTTGGGATTCTGGCGCAAGCTCTTAAATGGTCCGGAAGCTGCGATCCTCGTAGATTCAGAACGGGTATATTATAGTCACACCGAAATTGCCGAGGCGCCCAGAAGTTGCAAACTGGTTTGGAAACATCGCACGTACAGTCACAATATGTCACAATCGAGCGCCTCACTACGGTTGCGACACAAACTCCATCAGTGCTTGGTCTTCTGGGAAAAAGCTGGCCCAGTAGTCCTACTACTAACGCAATGAGATCCTCATCCCTGCGACCGCTACGACTGCCACTGTTGGTACACGAATGGTATAAAAAGGGAAACACTGAGTGCACGGCCGCGTTTGGAGCGAGCCACTTAGGCAAGGCCTGCACAACTCAACAGCGAGTTGCTCCTGAATGCTGCCTTGTTCGGACTTGCACGAAGAGGCAGCTTGCCACCGACAAAAGAACTTGCAGATCGTACGCCTCACAGGACAGAGTACAAGGTGTCGCGAGTTACTTGGTTGCAGGCCTCAGCGATTCCCTCCCACAGCCGGCTCAAGACATAGTCCAACGCTGTGTAGTTCCCGGGTTTGTACCTAAGTTCAATGCTGCTTTGGCCAAGGCAGAATGATGCAAAAAGCCTCTGAGTCCCTAGATTCCTAGATCCACACCTGGGGAAGGCCTGCTGTACCACAGGGTAGCTACATCATGCCTGGAGACTTGTGCGCGGCGATATGGTCCAGGTTCTCCTCCGTCAGAACCGGGAGCACCCAGGCCATAGCGCTTGAGAGTGGAGTTGATGGAGACCCCGCTGTAGGGTTCTGGCTTGCTGGATTTGAGGCGAACCCTTTGGAGGCGGCTCCTGAAAGAAAAAGTCGAATGCTATATCAGTTTCCTTCTAAACCTAGACGGCAAACATGAGAGCATCAACTGTCTGGATATAACACAAGCATAAGTCACGAATGCTCCTTCTTGCATGCTGCCATGCTGTTGCCACGTTTCCGGAAGTTTCATCAGCGGCAGCTTTTAGACATAACGCACGTTTCGACCAGGGGGTCCCGCACACTGGCCTGTTGGCCGCACTCTTTGGTAGACGCCAGAAGCTCTTTGCAGGCCGCTGCGGGAGCCAGACGAGCAAAGGTCGCGGGGGACCGGTTGCCTACATCGTATCTCGATTTCGTCAGCCGCCGTGCAACTGTCTCGCTCAGCGGGCGTGCCGCTCTTCAGGCAACTGACTTCGGTTTCCCAAGCTTCTTCACCGTGCGGTACAGGATGGCATCGATGAGACTCGCCACCTGACAGCACTTCATGGTCAAAGTTTTACCTATGTGGCAATTGTCAACATCTTGTGTCTCAGTCCAGGACAGTAAACACACCGCCGATGATGGCGCACACAGAGATTAAGAAGTGCGTGACCGGCACATCCTGCAACGACTGGGCTTGAGTGCCGTGGACCGGGCGGGACTGGGAGGTGAAATTTCTCGTGCACTGGAAGCTCAGGGAAGGTGGGAGACTGCATGGACAGGCCTTTTCCGTTTTCTGCACCATGAAGGGTGTAAACCTCAGTCAAATCAATGCGTCTTCCGTCGATTTAATTGGGCTGCGGGCCGCACAGGCATACCGCTCGAATTCCAGGTTGCTTACACATGCAGGCTTGCAGGGAGTCGAAACGGACTTTTGAGAATGACTGTACCAACCGTGACCATTACTGAGAAGTTTCGGTCGACGCATCATTGTCATCATCCAACCTCGAAACTGAGAAAGCTCACATCTTGAAACTGACAAGCCTTCACACGCCTATGGACCTGTGGGGAAGCCACAGAATATCGTGAAGTCTCGATGTCAACTTGATCGGATCACGATCGCGCACAGTGTTCCCAGGAGCCCAACCTGCCCTATGCCTCTGGTAACTTATACGATCGAAAATTCAGAAATCCTTGAGCAAGACCACTCCTGGACTGGCCTTGTCCTGAACCCCAGCACGAAGCCAGTGAACAAGAGTGAGCCTACTTCCATGAGCTGTCGTGGCCTTGGCTCCGCACTCGTACACCAAGAAGACCCCTGGAAGACCCGCGAGCTCACCTTGCCTGAAAGCATCTGACGGCATCGGCTTAGGGTTTCTGGTTTTGGTACAGATGCATGCTTTCGAAACGAGCCTCAAGGCTTAAAACCTATGGTGCACAATGCTTCAGTTGTTCCAAACCAGTGAACGTGCTGACTGGCTGACGCGTTGCTGCACCGTTCATGTTGTACTTACAGAAGCACACGCGCTGCCTCACCAAGACGTCTTTCTCTTTGCCTGTAACCTCGGCTTGCCACAGAAGGACGTCGGCTGTCACTGCTTACCATTGCTTACCATATCTCTGAGATTGCAGCGGAGTACTGATGTGTGTACAGCGGCCTTGGCATGTCAAGACAGACGAGCACGTTCAAACTCCAGCAGGTCGCGCACCGCGTTTTTTGCCTTCACTGCTAGGATGAGACAACACTTCAACGTGCCGAGTCCTCGTCAATTACGTTCTGCCTTTCTTGGCAATCTCGTCCGGTAGCTGCTCAAGTATGTACAAACTTGCAGTGTCACACCATCTCACAATACATGCCACAATGCCAGCGCGGTGCCCTCCCTACAAAAGGCTCTTCCGGTGGTAAGGGAAGACAGGAAAGTCTGCAGCACCGCTTTCATGACTAGATAGCAGACTGCTATGACCACTGTAATGTGCCGTGTATGTACTTGAGAGTCCCCTCGCCAGCACCACCGAGGACCGCTCTTGCCATTGCCAGTCTCGAAAAGAGTTGGAACCTCTAGCGGAAGCGTGTAGCACAAGGACAGTAGACAGACTCAAGGTGGCAGTCAAGCATGTCCGGCTGGCCAGCTTGATGTAGTAGTGGAACATGTACGCGCCCTTGACGACTATTTTTGCCGTGCCCTGCACAATCATTTCAAGAAAGAAAATCGAGCCACAACGGAAACTCAGTCGCAATGTCTGCACTTTATTCTGGTGTCCTCCAGTGGCGACTCGACACCAGGGACACGCTGCCCGAACCTGTGGCTCAGGTGCTCCCAAAGTGGAATGTTGGAGCCAACTGCCATGATTCGATTCTGCTGCGATATTCGGCCAGATGGAAGTACAGCACTAGTACAGCGGTCTTGAGTTGGAGTCATGACAGTCGCACCGAGACGGCCACTCGAGTCTGTGGATGATGTGGGACGTGTTGAACCCGTCACTGACATCCTTCAGGTTAAACTCATGCACGTGCTTGCCGTCCCGGATCTCAGGTGCAGAACTGGATGCTGATGAAGCTCTCAATCTTTGAGGCAAAGGGTGCCAAGATCTTGCAAACCGAACGTCGTACTAACATGTTCCTGAGCTGAGCGCAGTCGACTTGCCAAGGGCGACGTGAACGTTTCCACCGACCTGCTGAAGTTGAGCAAACCAAGTTGAGATAGCTCCAACTTCCCAAATCTCACGTCTGCAGCTGCAAAATCCCCACATTCCGGGTTGGTAAGCAGTCAGGCGAGCAGCTCAGAGCTCACCCAATGCAAGAATTGGTCAGCACTGGCATGCTTGGTCTGATGCACCGAGACCTTCCAACTTCCCACCTTGGACACGAGGACGTCCCCGTGAACTTGGCATCCTACGCTGTTCCGGCACTGCATTGCCTGGGTGGCTCGCTTGCATTGGGCCATAGAGCAACGTGGACCCACGATCCGTGGGCCCCACCGTGTCAAGGATGTGGAAGTACGGAATGCCCATTTCCTGGTAGGCTTCCTGCAAGGCACGCCCATGCACAGGCAATTCCTGAGAATCTAGACGTTTAGCTCTTGGAGGGCACCTGATTGCCTGAATGTTCCGGTGCTTTCTCAACTGCCGACTGTCTGGACTCCCCTCAATCAAGACGGATGGCTTCAACAACTGGGCCTTGAGTTGCTGACAGGTGTTGCAGCACCTTGCAAATGACGCAATCCACATACTGCAACATCAAACAAGCGGCCGGCGGAGGCCAGTCCACCATGCAGCTGGTGCTGTATGCAGCAACTGCTAGCATACAGCCAATCGTAGATGATATCTTCCACAACTTTGGGGCACACATTTCTGAGCTCTGCTCCTATCGTGTTTTAAGGCGAGTACCTCCGACACGCTGAACTCCAGGACACCGCGACAACAGCTAACAGAAACGGTCGCGTGTGCATCGTCAAGACCTGGGGCTGTGACAGTTCCGCCTCACCCGGCCCAGGCTTTGCTTCCAGACACGAGAAACACCTGGCTGTGAAAGCTTTCCATCACAGCTGCAACGGTCACGCTGATTCTTGCGATGGCTGCACGACGATGACGAAAAACGATGATGCTCATAATCATGATGGTGATGGTGGTGCTGATGGTGCTGATGGTGCTGATGGTGCTGATGGTGCTGATGGTGCTGATGATGACCATCATGATGAGGATGAGGACGAGGAGGACGAGGTGGCAATTGATGACACAAAAGGACAACGAGGATAGGTATGATTTTGATTCTTGCTATCATCTTTAGGAACAACCTCAATCTTATGATCGCAGTCGCCACCGCTGCGGTTTCCATTTTTACACGCTCTCATGACAACCTGGCTGTTCTTGCAGCTGCCAAGGATGTTTTTTCTGTTGCTGCACGACGTGATAGCACTCGAACTGCCCTTCCTTTTGCTTCGCAATGCTACGAGGAATGGCATCGTGGCCACTCCTGGTGGTGGTCGTTGTCGTCGTCGTCATCGTCGTCGTCGTACGTCCTCTCCTCGTCCTCGTCCTCGTCGTCGCCATTGTCGTAGTCGTGGCAGCAGTAGGAGTAGGAGCAGTAGTAGTAG